TTTGCGTCGTTGTAACAAGTATGCTAAGGGGCTTGCACTGATGTGGGATGACGTGACGTGAGTCGAACCGAGCAAACCACGACCGGCAGCGGGCGAGGGCTGAGTAGCAAGTTGTTCTCCTTGCCCTCTTCTCGCCTCAGCCTATTGCTCCTTCTTCCACTCGCCTTTCTCCCTCAGCTGTTGCTGTTCGTCTTCCTTGAACCAGCGCACGCTCCTTGCAAATCCCTCATCTAGGCCCACAACAGGGACGTACCCGGTCCTCTTCATGAGTTTCTCGCATGAGTAATACCTCGAGATCGTGGCGTACTTGACTGTCTGGCGGTTCAGCTTGCCCTTTCTACCCGTCAGGTGGTTGAACAACTCCGCGGCGCCGCCGACAAAGGTAGCCAGAGAGGTAGGAAGGGCGACGATTCGGTCGGGGTTGATTGTGCGTCCGTACCGCGAGAAGAGATAGCGCGACGAGTCCCAGAAAAAGGCGGGCTGGTTGTTGGTCACGTTGAATGCTTCGCCATCCACTTTTTCAAAGTCCTTCCCTCCTTTCCTCAACCCGCCTTCCAGAAGAACCTGCGCCACACAAAGGAGCCCGAAACACACGTTATATACATAGGTGTTGTCGAACAAATTGCCATTGTCCCCCAGCTGTATGTGTAATTGCCAATCCGGGGCAACTGAAGCCGTCCTGAGAATGGCCCCTGAGAACCCCCCGCGATCTCCTTCGCCAACGATGCCCGCGGGCCGCACTGCGCAGGTCAACATTGTGCCTCCATCACTGTAGTCGGGATTGGCGTTGGCTTTGAGCACGATCTTCTCAGCGAGGACTTTTGTCTCGGAATAATATTCCCTCGGATTCGGGCACACGTAGGGGTATCGTTCGTCTGCATTGACCAAGTCGGATTCGCCATCGTGGATCACGCTCGCGCTCGAGACATGGACGAATGCTCTGACACATCCGCCCCAGTCGCCATGTTTCTTCCCACCAGCAACTTCCAAGAGTGTCCGTGTGCCTTCGATATTTACCTTTCGGAGAATGGCAGGAGGGGCTTCCCACGACGGAGACGCAGTGTTGATGACCACGGTGGGCTTGACTTTGCGGAAGACCTCGAGAAGAGAATTTGGGTCAGTAATGTCGGCGGAGTGGTACGTTGCACCGGGGAAAATATGTTGGGTGCATCTCAGGTCCAGTACATGGATGGAGGTAGAGGACTGGTCTGTGGGAGGGTAACGGCTGCGTAAGGATGGGAAGGAGGAGGGGATGAGTGTGGTGATGTCGTATTTCTCCGGGTTAGGGGTCGGGATGAAGCTGGAGGTTGATTCCGTTGGAGTCTTGGTGGTTGCGGCGCCGTTTGTTCCTTGCCGCTGCCGTGAGACTGCTTTGTTCCCTGCGTCTGGTCCTTCGGACGGAAAGTTGAGCAGTTGATCCACGAGCCGCGAGCCGAGAAAACCGCAGCCTCCAACCACCAGCACGGTGCCGTAGGACCGCGGTGTCATATCAACCTCAGTCGCCTGCCTTTGCTCCATTGCCTTGCAGAGGAGACTTTGACGCGAAATGGCTGGCACTGGCACTGGCACTGGGGGAGTCGAGTCTGGAGCCCGACCCTTGGGAAGCTTTTCTTTTCCCCTGGGATTTGGGGAGATGCGAACCGGTGAAGCGGTGCAGGCGATGCAGGCGTTCCTGGAAAAGTGGGCCCCGGCCCCGGAAGCGAGACTTTCCTCGTGGCGTGCAGCATTACATAATTACCTCAGCCTCGCAGCCCGAGCCTAATGGCCTCATAAAGCCTCGTCAGGCACATGTAACAGAGTCTCCATCAATCGACTTCCGCGGCCTCTGCAACTTCCTAAAGGACAGACGGCGAGTCGTCTCACTGACAGGTAAAGGCTTCTCTCAGTCAACCAGCAGCGAAATCACGTCAAGTGTAGCAGAACAGGAAGACCATCTCAACAGAACCTCCCCTGTGTCTTCTTAATTATTCCATCATTAAGAACCCTGTCTCGATTTTTGTACTCATGACCATGGTGCATGCTGCTTCATATCGCCAAATTCATCCCAGAGCTGCCTCCCATTCACCACTCCGATCGCCGTGTTCCTTCCGAGTTTACAGAGTTCGTCTGTGAAGCCCCCATCATCTCCCGACTCCCGTGCTTGCTGCAGATGAAACCTGATAACTCATATTTTGCATTCCTCTACCTGCTCCATCTCACCATTCTGTCGCCCTCCCAACTCCAACCTCAGCCCTGATGGCTGGTCGAGTGGAGTTGTTGTCGGATCTCAAATGCGCGTCTCACATCTCCATCACTCCTCTGTAGTCTTCTGTGCCGACCTCCGGAGCTGGCGAAAGTATTTCTTCTTATCACTTTCGCTACCCCAAAGTAATTTGGTCGCCTCGGGATGCACAATCGTCCTCGGGTCATATGGCGGACTTTCCTCCTCCAGCGCCTCGACGATACTGACAATGTGATTCCGTAACTGATCCGCCTCCTTGGGAAAATAGCACACCACACCGTCCTTGGACACCCTATGATGATAGATGGGTGTTTCCATCTTGACCCGAGGCTGTTCGCCCGGAAACCGAGGACTCACCGCGATTCGGAGTTTGAAGATCCCACCATCCAGATGCGTGCTGGGTTTGCCGAAGTATGTCATAATCCAGACAAACGGGTTATCGTTTTCGAGCTCGACGTCAACATTGTGCAACTTCTTGTGCCTCAAGTAGTCTGGCAGTTGTACGAATTGCCGTTGGAGCCCTGCCGCCTTAGTCGACTCCCGCTCCTTCAAGGCCGATCCCTCGACCGCCCACCTATTGGTCTCATCGCGAAGCACCTCTTTGATCCGCACCAGTCTTTTACCCAACTCGCCGTATCGGAATTTGCCCTCCATGGTGTTCCCGCCGCCTTCAAAGGGCATCTTGGAGAAATCGGAGCCATCCCTATTTTTAGAGCTATGTTCTTCAATAGTACACATGTAATGTTCAAAGTACCACAGAAATCGTCGCTTGAAGAGATCCCTGAAGGGTGTGAATTTGAGCTTGGATTGCATCTCAAGCGGGTCTTCTTTAGATTCGTCCTGCTCGTCATCTTCAGAGCCCCACTGGGACATGGTGGGTGTCGGAGTGGCCAGTGAGCCGTCTGACTGGATGCCCAATGCCTCCTCGAGCTTCTGGATGACGGCAATTCGGAGTGTTTCGTGGCGGATCTAGAAACGCAGTCAGACACTGGTCTGGCCCGGTGTGGGTGTGAAAGATGATGGTAATGTAAGTACCTTGGCACAGTACAGATCATTCAGCCTCTTGTCCTCTGTACCCTTGGCATTCTCATACCCAGGCTCGTTTTCGTAGGGATTGCTGCTCATCAGGCTCTGAATCGACCACAATATCGACTCCAATCCTTGTGCAGATGACCACTCTTCACCCGGTCTCTCTCCGTGCCATGTGCCCAAGATCGACAAGCAGACTTTCCCTGTGGCGTAGATATTTGGGTTGAATCTCGTGCGACCGCCATTTGTGGTTTTGGCCTCGACTTTCGGTGGCTTGCTGGGATACTCGGACCCAAAATTGACGGTGAACTCGAAGAAGCCGTACTCATAGGGAGTTCCGTGGGGGCCGATGATCAGGGCTTTGACGTGGCGGACATCTTTCTCCTGGCAAGCGACCGCGATGGCTGCCGAGAGGGGTCAGTTGGAAGATCGTAGAGGATACAGGCTGCGTCACGACTTACATAGGTCACTGCCTTGTTGAATCTGAGTGATCTCCTGCGCACGGGACCGTTAGCAGTGTGCTCCTGTTATGTAGGAGCAAGCTCTTACTCGCGATATTCTCAAGATGGTCTGGTTCGACATGATGAAAGCGGAGGTGAGGTCGGGCGCGGCAGAGGTTGAGCAGGTTGACGTTCGAGCTCAGGTTCATGAGCAACGCAGAGAAGAGCTATAACGGGCGAAACAATGCTGCAAGTTGGCCCATGGAAATTAGAAAGAGGCATTGTTTGGTGAAAATGGGCTTTCGCTTTGGGAGGGGGTTGGCTTCTGGGGTTTTCCAGTGCAAGATGAGGCTGTGTGTCACAAGCTGCCCTGAAGCCTGAGGGTGATGTGAACAGCGGCTTCCCATTAGAGGAACCAAAGAAATCACTGACTAGTTCGCGACACGCTAGGCGGCATAGGCGACTACATGGGGCACAGATCTGCCTTCGAGTTCCCAGTCGGCGACCAGGACTTAACCGTAAGTTGTTCAGTGCCTAAGTATCTAGGTAGGTAGGTACGGAGGGGAAGACTGAGAGGGACAGCGGCAGCGGGGCCACCCCACCGGTTACGGCAGCCTAATCAGCTTTCCGCGGTGCTCATAAGGCTGAAGGTGAAAAGCGTTCTCAGGTCGGAGTCACTGCTGCCTACTGGGCACCTAGCGCTAGGTAACCATTATTGGGAGACCAACCAACAGTCGCCTCGAGCCTATGACGCACTTGGTTATACTTGGAGGTAGGCGGCCCCGACTCCCGCGGCCGCCCCCAGCGGGGAGAATTAGTTGCCAGCACAAGGACCTCGTACCATACCGAGCACAAGCGGGTAGATCTCAATGCTCAGAGCTGAGGAGTCCACTCGCTAACCGCCTAAGCACTAGTGAGTAAAATCCAAGTACCAGGTAACCCGCCATAGCATCGAGCTTGCCCATGGTGTTTGAAGTTTGCTCCTCTTTGTATGGACCGGTTATGCGTGTTCCTTCCAATTCTAGCCTCCTTCCCAGTCAAGACATGGATTTGGCATCTTTCCGGGATCGAGTCTCGCCAGTCGACATGGCGAATACCCGCAATCTTCTATCCTGTTGCGCGACTCATACATGGGCCATACCAGCCAGAGAATCGGTTGTGCCTGATCCAGCGAGGCCTTCCTCGAGTCTCATAATCTCGTTGGGTCTTCCTCCAAAGATCAAATCTCATAATCCAGCACCGTCGTGTTTCCATCAATCCAAAGTCGACAATCCAACACTTCTCCTGCGGGCATTGTTCACGCTCCGCAATCATATGGCCTTCTCAGGTCGTGCTGTACTCGTGCTCCAATCGCTCTTCTGTCGACAGTTCCGAGGCCGCTCGCCACCTGATTCCGCGTGTGATGTGATCTCTTCCGCCGGCGAAGTCGAAGGCTGTGCCGTTTCCAGGATCGACGACGCCAGGGCCTTGGCATTGACGTTGACGCCTGCCAGATCTACTGCGGCAAGAGTTCCCTCAGGTGGTGGTCCAGGAATATCCGAAAGAGGGTAGGTCAATCGCTCAGACGTCATTTCAGGAGAAGGGGTCTCCACTGCCCCGAAACCGTTGTCTTGGGTGTTGTTGAAGAGGTACACATTCTCTTCCGTCAATGCCAGCGTCGGCGCGGATCCGCCACCTCCATCGGCTGGTTGGGCTAGATCGGACGAGCCAGGACCCGGCATAAACGAGCCATCTACCATGACCGTGGCGGCAATAATAGACGGGCCATGGCTTAAGTCGGTCACCGATAACAGCTTAGCGTCGCGCAGTGCCTGTGCTTTGTCTTCAGCTTCGGCCCTCCTCATTTCGCGATCTCCTTCTGTTCCGCCTCCTGGAATCTCGGTGGCGAGGATGGCCCTGGAGATGCTAGACCGGAGGGCAGCGGCCTTTTCAACCAGATCAATCTCACTCTTCTCTGAGGCTGGTGTCTCCGCAGCCGAGGCAAACAAACTGTTTGTCATTCCATTGCGAGCATAGAATTCGGCGGCGATTGCATCGTTCTGGCCGCAAGTCGATGAGTGGTCGGTGCACGCGCTTCCCCATGATGGTTGCCGGGGATCTGCGGGAGCTTCTGACCATTTCCGGTGCTTGTAGCCATTGCGGGCCCTAGATATCCACTTCAATATGGTTTTCTCTAACAAAGCCCGCTTGACCGGTTTGGCCATATAGTCGTCCATTCCCGCTTTCTCACACTTCTCTCGGTCACCTTGAATCGCCGATGCGGTCATGGCCACAATTGGAATTTTCGCAATCATCTCAATCTCTGTGAATGGCGGGTGATGCCTGAGCATGTGTGTAGCATGGTAACCGTCCAGGACGGGCATTTGCACATCCATGAGTATCAGTGAAGGAATCGGATATTGTTGTGATTGCTCGGGAGCGAGGTCGGGCGAGGTGGCTTTGAGAAGATACTCCAGTGCCTCCCGGCCATTCCACACAGCAATTGCAGAAAACTTCAGCGCTTTGATGAACCTGAGGGCAATTTGTTGGTTCACAGGGTTGTCTGAAACAGTCAGCCTCGACATCGATTGGTCCTTGATCCGTAGGGCTTACCTTCGACGACGAGTATATGTATCTGATTGCGCTCGAGATCAGCCGCAAGAAGTTCCGTCCCTGGACTTGCCATGCTTGTATTCCCCGATGACTTGGGCGGAGTCATTATCTTTGGGTGTTTTGGAACTTCTTCTTTTGACGAATCCCTAGAGAGACACAAGTCGGATTGTAACCTATCGGGCACCGTGCCCACTTCGAGCAAGGCCGCCGGAGACCCCGTTTGGTATTCAAGTTTTTTGAATGGCACATTGAAGATAGCTTTGGTCCCTGCGTCCAGCTTGGACTCCAGGCGAATAGTTCCATGCATCAAATCCACCAGGTTTTTGGATATCGTCAAACCGAGACCGGTCCCTCCAAAACGCCTCGCGGTGCTTGAATCGGCCTGGCTGAACGGTGTAAACAACCTCCTCTTGACTTCTTCCTCTATCCCAACACCACTGTCTTCGACACAAAATTCGATGGCGATTGTGTCGGTGGTTTCACCAAGGATGCAGGTGCTCAGCATGACGAAGCCCTTGGAAGTGAACTTGATACTGTTGGTCAAGAGGTTGACTAGGATTTGTCGTATTCGGCCAGGGTCACCCAACACAATGAGTTCTTCCGAGGGTCTAAGATCGACGATACTCCTGAATTCGAGTCCTTTCCGTTGAGCGGCAAATGAAAGCATGTTGGCAACCTCGCGGAGCACGTGGTTCAGACTGAATTGCACTTCTTCAATATCAAGCCGACCGGATTCGATTTTGGAGAAGTCTAGAATGTCGTTGATGACGGTAAGGAGGGAATTGGCAGACCTCTGGATGTTCTGGGCGAACTCGCTCTGTTCCGCATCTAGGCAAGTGTCCATGAGCAGCTCTGACATTCCGAGCACCCCTGCGATGGGTGTCCGGATCTCATGAGACATATTGGCGAGAAAGCTGCTCTTCATCTTGCTCGCTTCTTTGGCCGCGGTCTCCTTTGCAAGCAATATGATGTTTTCTTGCTCTTTATGCCGTAATGAAGTAACGTCGGATCCGATAACAATGACTCCGGCAATGAAGTTCTCGTCTTCGACCCCATTCGGGCCTGTCTTGCCCTTCAACGGAACCATCTTGGACCGAAACCATCTAGAATTCACCTCATTCTCGCAAATTTCCAGATCGGAGACTCCTGAGAGGATACGATACAGAGCCTCTCTAAATTCGTCAATAGCTTGCGGCGCAAGGTGATCGCGCAAAACCTCGAGGACAGGGGCCCCGAGGGCTTGTTCGGTGGTCACATCGCCCATAACGAAGGACCCTTCGTGAAAACTGACATTCAATTGTCGGTCGAGAATCCACATGGTCATTTGCGAGTGTTTCAACACATCCAGCAATTGCCGTCGGACCCTCTGCCCGGCAACCTTGGCGTCGACGACTTCTTGAATATCGGTACAAGTGCCGAACCACTTGAGAATCTTGCCCGTCTTGTGGTGTCGCATGGGCAGGGCCCTCCCGAGCATCCATCTCCATTCACCGTCAAACCTTCTGCAACGATACTCGGTGATGTACTCCTCTCCGGTCTCGAGAGAATGACGCCGTTTGCGTGTGGTCTCGGGCATGTCCTCTGGGTGAAAAGGCTGCTTCCAGCCTGGACCTAAAGAGTTGGCAGGGGTCAGGCCAGTATAGTCATACCATCTTTTGGAGTAATAATCGTGGTAGCCGTCGGGTCTCGTCGTCCAAATCATTTGTGGCATCATGTCGCAGATGAGGCGGAACTGTTCCTCGTTTTCTGCTGTTTGGTGGGCAATTTTTTCCGTGTATTCTGTAACATCCTTGAACGCGATCAAGCCCGCCAGAAACTCTCCAGACTTTTCGTCGTAGACAGGGTGCCCGCTGACGTCAAAGTTGGACTTCTTGCCGGTCTTCTCGTCAAGCAGGCCAATCTTCCAGTTCGTGAAGGGTTGCTGAGTGCGACACAGGGCCACGACGGGGTTGTTATCTTCTTCGAGCTCTCTTGAGAAATCTGCTGCCCAGGGGCGAAATCGCGACATGAAATCATACGACTCGTCAGACATTGGATCGGCCTCGACTGCCAGTAATTTTCGGGCAGCCAGGTTTGGAAACACCACGCTCTCATCTCTCCACATGGCAATCAATGGGATCTCAATCGCGCTCAACATGGCATTCTTCATCTTGAGGACCTTCTGAAAGTCCGTCGGGGCGGAAGGGGCAATACAATGGGAAGGAGGGGCGATAGGAGGGAACGAGACCCCGTGTAACTGCTCTCCGGGTGACCCAACATGAGAAGTCCTCCCCGAAGACACAGGAGTTTGGGGCTGAGAAGAACGAGAGGACCTGGCGGAATGGGACGAGGGATGGCGTGGAGTACCTGATGAGCGTGACCATGGGCGATGAGACGGATGTCCCACTGAGCTGGTAAACGTCAAGGTGAAAAACTGCTGTCCTTCTAGGGCCCAGATACTTATTATCATTCGACAGGTGGCGCGGACAGCGCGACGGGCACTGTTATGTTTGTGTCGCGGAATGCGATGTGGCGACTGGTCATGATGGCTGCCGGAGATGATGACATCGACCACGGTATCTTGAGATTTTTCGGGACGGTTTTGCGGGGGCGACCTACCTCTTGCAGCGGCGGCGGCCTCGGGAACAGCAATGGGAGTTGTCTCGCCGCTCTGTACATCCCGCAACGAATCTCCCGAGGAGGTTCTGTCTCCTGCAGGCGGGTGCAAATCACTGGCAAGGTTGTCGAGAAATCTCTCCCAACTGACCCATATGGGGACGCCGCCGTCGGCGAACATGTCAATTCCCAACTGCGACAGCGTCTGACCCTTGAGGAAGTCGCCGACGCTGAAGCCGGGATCATCTTGATCCACCCCCAGCAGCCTTGCTATGGCAGAATTGGCCAGAACGACCGTTTTCAAAGAAGACAGGACCAGGATCGGTGTAGGCAGGGTCGCGAGGGCGGCCAATGCGGTTTCGCTCGCCATAGGGAGATGAGGTAGGTCGATGAAGAAATCAAGCGCAGGCGAAGCAGTGGCATCGCGCCGGCCAGCGGTGGTAGTAGCAGCAGCAACAGATTCTGAAGAGGCTATACATGGGTCACAGACAGCATCGTCGGTCGGCCTGGGTTCAAATTCGACATCGCCACCAACCATTTCCCAAAAATAAAGCAGGTGTGGTTGTGGAGGCGAGTGGAGAGGAATGTGCTGAGCGCTATGAAGCGATAGCCAGTAGAAGAGATTGAGAGCGAATGTGAGGTGACGTAGGAGGCTTTGACAACCCTTTGTTGCCCTTGGTTCAGTAGCAGCAGAGGCAACCAAGCGAGCGGGGCAGCTAGTGAGGCTCAACAGGCAGCGATCTCCCCTTGCAGTGCATAGGAGTAACAATAGGAGAATGAACGGCAGACATAGGGATAGTGCGGTACGGAGTATAGGGGATTTGTATAGGCAGTAGTAAATATTGATATCGTGACATATACCGAGTATGAGGTACTTTGGGGGAGGGTGGTAGAAGGAGCGGCCAGAGGCAGCCAGGAACATGGCTGAACATGGCAGGCGCCATGGGGAACTGGGATTTCCCTCTATTCTTCCATTCTGCCATTCTTCACTCTCTCTCTCCCTCTTTCTCCTCTCATTCCCACTCCCTCATGCATCTCAGGTGATTTTTCAGCCTTGGTCTCTCATTACAGCCTCATCTGTTCATCCTCAAGGGGAGAATCAAAGGGGTGTTGGGAGTACCTCGTACAAGTACCTGCACACCCTAGCTCCCCCACAGATGGCTGAATTACAGATCCCCAAGTCAGTGGAAGAACCACGGAAGCAAGATGCGATCCTTCCATCGGCCGCTTTCTTGTTTGATGCTGTCGATGCGAAACCACTCAAGACCGCCCCGGCCCGAGGCCACCAACTCCTGCTCGCACCGTGAGGAGACGATGCCTCATCAACAACTAACCATCTCTGCGGTGGTCAAACAGCATGCTCCTACCGGCCCGTGGGCAGTCTACTTGGTCCAAAGAGCACAAGGGGAAGTCATTGACTCTTTTTTTGTCTTTTTCCCCCATTTTTTTCTCCCTTAACACCAAGCTTCGCGCTTCGGCTTTAACGACATGCGAGTCGCTTTTGCAGTCAGCCCCCCAGCCTGAGCGGGTGGGTTCGGTGCTCGTTCTTATGCTTCGTTCTAGAGCGACCAAGACGGCCCGTTCATGTCGCTCCGCGTGGGAACGGAATCGGGATAACCAGTGCGGATGCTAATGGCCGGCCGTACGATCCTTCTACTCTACTATAGAAGCAGCACTTTCGGCTCAAGGTAGGGTGGCCTTGTTGTTAATCGCTCTCTTCTCCTAGTCGCAGCAGCAGCCAGTAAAAGGTACTCACGTCGCAAACATGGCTCAAGCTGTCCCCCCGACCCTCTCTCTCGATCTATCCCAATACCCCAAACTGTCGCCCACTCAATTAGGGCACCTCCGCCATTTCCACAACCTCGCCTTTCAGCCGGATGGAGAGTGGGCAAAGATGGGGGCTCAAGAACCCCTCCAAGAGTTCCTCGATGCCTATCGCTATCAACTTGCCACAATGGCCTACGCGGTCGGTGTCGCTCATTATCATCGCTTACCAGCTCTTCGCTCCATATTCAAACCCCTCCTCCGCCAGCTGATCCACAAGATGCTGCGCAAAGAGGTCTGGGCTTACTGGTTCAACACCAGTCTAGGCGGGACGCGCACCGATCCAGGTTTACAAAAGCTCAGAGAACCGTGGGCCGATCCTGTTGTAAGGGAGAACATCATGTACAGCGGTCACCTGTTGCTGATGACCAGTCTCTACGCCATGCTCTTCGACGACGATGAATTCGAGAAGCCCGAATCCCTGGTTTTCAAATGGGACCCTATCTTTTTCGGTCTCGGTGATGAGACTTTCTTCTACGACAACCGCAGCCTCCAGGCAGCCATTACTAGAGAAATGGAAAGAAATGGATGGGTTGGTGTCTGTTGCGAGCCAAACGTGGTCTTTGTCGTCTGCAACCAATTTCCAGTACAGCCGGCCACCTCCACCCTTTTTGGACTCATGTGCTACATTTCCTAACTGTGTTCCAGATCATTGCAATGAAATACAACGATTCTCGAGATGGTACCAACAATGTCGAAGACGTTCTGGCCAAGTACAAGGCCGCCTGGGACAAGAAAGGCATGGTTGCCTCCAATAGCCTCCTTATTGACTTTTGGATGGTCAAACAAGATTATATCGTCCCCCCTACAGATGTGGGATGGACCGCATGGTAAACTTTTCGCCGCTTCATTCCGTCAAGATTCAAACTCATGAACCCTTAGGGCTGGCGCTTTTATGCACTCCTGGAACCCCCAACTTGTGGAGAGTCTCTATCCAAAACAGGTGCCCGGTTTCATCACCAACATCTCGGGCCGGGTCCGCCTGCAACCGCCGATTGTAGCCAACCACTACCGCAAACTTTCAGCAGCAGCATACCCGCCCACATCCGACTGGGATAGGCTCCAGAAAGCCATTGATCTTGCCAAAACCGACCTTGCCGAAAATCCGGCGCCGAATTTCCCGTACACCAAACCCTGCTTCGGATATGTTGTCCAATGGCTCTCTGAACTTGGTCAAACAGAGCTTCTTGACGGCCTCTTAGCATACGCCGACCAAGACCTGAATCCAACGTGGGACAATGGCGGACTCTTCTATCCTCGCAATGACACCCCCTTTGTCTTCACCGAGGACAGAGAGGACGGCGAGGGTGTCAAATGGACACACGTCTCTCCTTTCTGCGGCAATGCTGCGATCGGGTACGCACGACTCAATATCAAAGATGGACAACGCATCATGTACGAAAATCCGTGGACAAGAGAGTCACTCGCCCAGACGCCGTGGATCGACAACCTCGACTTCGTGGGGAAGGAACACGGAGTCGGTGTACTTCGCGGCGTGTGGGATGAGGATGCTCACGCGTTGGTCTTGACGGTGAAAGGATGGGATTTTGAGGGACGAGCGTGTCCTGAGAAAGTGAGCGTTGAGCCTGTAGCGCGGAATCTGGGGCCAGGCAAGTGGGCAGCCTATGTCGATGGGAAGTTGCGTGCCAGCAAAGAGTTGCATGGTCCGGCCAGGGATGATTTCAAGGTTACGTGTGATGTCAAGAGAGGACAGGAGGTTGACGTGGTGTTTATGAGGGTTGATGGTGGGATGAATAGTCATGTCAACGGGCATCCCCGTTAGAAAATGCGAAGGGGATAGTTATGTGCATTTCTCCAAGATCCAAAAACCTGAGCACAGATCATGTGAGAACATCATCTCATCATACATAGGTGGGTTAATATTACCATCAAGCGGAGTATTGAAGATGAAATCTGTCTAACAGTGTGTCCGTTCCTTCTTCCGTCTAGCAATGCATGCATCAAGTCATGATGGGACAAAACAGAACGCCATCGCCATGCATTTCACTTTGGTCCACTGCCTTCCACTCCACTCGGCCTCCATACAACAAAGCGGGAAGATCGGCGGACATCTCACGCGTCGCCTCTTGACCTTGGATCGTCACCTCCGACCTTGACCTGCTGCTCCACCTCGGCCTCTTCGTCCCGGCCGCTTTCACCGCCCTTGGCTTTCTTCCCCGAGACAATCAGGCCCTGCTCGGTCTCGAGGCCGACGTTCAAATCATAGCCTTTAATAAACAAGCTCGCGACAAGGGAAAAGCCCGCCAGCGCCGCGATGACGATGTACACGGTGCGCAGGGAGTCGGTGTAGGCGGTGCGGAGGTCCAGTTTGTTGGCGCCCGCGGGGGTGTTCTTGATGATTTCGACGAGGGCGGCGGCGTCCTTGGCCAGGTCCGATGCGCGGGCGGCGTAGGCCGGGTACTTCTGCAGGTTTTTCACCATCTGATTCTGGAAGATGACGCCGCCGATGGCGACGCCCAGGGCCTGGCCGAACGAGCGGAAGAAGACGAACATGGCCACGGCGAAGGCCATGTCCTTGTTCGTGCTGGCTGCCTGCACCTGGAACTGAAGGCCGGGGAACAGGATGCCCAAGCCGATGCCAGAGACCAGGTCGATGAAGATCCACTGCGGGATCGTCGTGTCGACGTCTAGGATCGTCAGCAGGCCCAGCCCTAGCGTCGCGATACCCCAGCCCAGCCAGATCGCCCAGCGGTATGCGGAGAACTTTGTGATCAGCAAGCCCGTCACCACCGCCATGGGCGCCACGGTGAATGTTGCGGGAAAGAGTGCAACGCCCGACACCACAGGCGTGTAGCCCTTGACGGCCTCAAAGTACAGCGGTTGGTAGTACAGAATGCACCAGAGGACCATGCCGTGGAGGGTCGTCGTCATATATGCAATGTTTACGGTGCGGTTGCCGAACACGGACAGTCTCAGCAAAGGCTCGGGCGCGAGGTATGCTTCGTAGAAGCAGAATCCGATCAGGCCCGCGCCGCCGACAAACAGAGGCACTAGCGTCCGCCACGACGACCAGCTGTACATGACACCACCCCATGTCAAGGGGATGAGGAAACTCGTCATGCTGCCAACGAAGATCACCGTGCCGAGCCAGTCCACGCGGCGCAGTTTGGCAGTAATGCTCTGTGGTATTATGTTGAGGCGCAGGAACAAGGGGACCATGACAGCGCCGATGCCAATAAAGGGGAGATTGAGCCAGAAAATCCAGCGCCATTCCACTTGGGCAAAGGCACCGCCGATGATCGGGCCGGAGACCGAACCAATGGACCACATCCCTGCGATGATGCCTGCCCATTGGCCTCTGTAGCGGAGCGGGACGAGGTCCGTGACGACTATCTCGGTCATGGCAATGACACCTGTTCGCTCTCAGTCAGAAACAAAAAAGAAAAAGGATGACGGGTGTGGTTGAACGACTCTCTGTTGGGAAGAATAGATGTGACTTACCACCTCCACCAATTCCTTGAATCGACCTCCCCGCAAGTAGTAGACCAAAATCGTTCGACAAGGCTGCCATCATAACCCCGACGAAGAATAATGCGATAGAAACCATGATCACAGGCATTCTCCCAAAGATGTGGCTGAACGAGGCAAAATTGGGTTGAAACACGGTCGAAGCAAGCAGGAACGAGGTGCCCGCCCAGAACGCTTCAATGGCTGTTCCACGTAGCTTTTTCGCAATGATGGGAAGGGCGACAC